TCTGGTTCCAGATCTCAGTGAGTATGCTTCTAACTTTTCTACAATCAATAGGATGCTGGCCATGGGTTCGTCATAGATTGTCTTGATTGTGTTGATGAATGTTCCTTGTATATCCAATTTGCTTAGAGTTTTCATCATGAAAGGGTGTTGTATTTTATCAAATGCTTTTTCTGCATCTATTGAGATAATCATATGGTTTTTGTTCTTTAGTTTGTTAATGTGACCTATCACATTGATTGATTTACAAGTGTTGAACCATCCCTGCATACCAGGGATAAATCCCACTTGGTCTGAGTGAATGGTCTTTTTAGATTCCATTGGCTAGAATTTTGTTGAGGATTTTTGTGTCTGTGTTCATCAGGGAAATTGGTCTGTAGTTCCCTTTCTCTGTTGTGTCTTTTTTTGTATTAGGAATAGGTGATGCTGGCTTCATAGAAAGAATTTTGGATGATTCCCTCCCTTTAATTGTTTTTAATAGCTTGAGAAGAATTGGATTTATTTCTTTTTTAAATGTCTGGTAGAATTCAGCAATGAAGCCATCTGGTCCCTGGCTTTTCTGTTTTGGGAGGGTCTCTATTACTGATTCAATTTCTGTCTTGGTTATGGGTCTGTTCAGGTTTTCTATGTCTTCATGGCTAATTTTAGGTGGATTGTCTGTGTCTAGGAATCTATCCATTTCTTCTAGCTTTCCCGATTTGTTGGCATATAGCTATTTGTAGTAATTTCTGATAATTCTTTTTATGTCTGTGGTTACATTTCCTTTTTCATCCCTATTTTATTAATTTGGACCTTCTTCCTCCTTTTTTGGATTTGTTGGCCCAATTTTGTGTTAAATTTGCTTATTTTTTCAAAAAACCAGCTCTTTGTTTTGCTGATTTTTTGTTTTAACTTGTTGATTTCTACTCTAATTTCAATTATTTCTTTTCTCCTACTAGTTTGGGGTTTGATTTGCTGTAGTTTTTCTAGATCTTTGAGATGCATCGATAGCTCATTTATTTGGTGCCTTTCCAATTTCTTGATGTAGGCACCAATTGCTATAAGCATTCCTCCTAATGATTCTTTTGCTGTATTCGATAAATTTTGATATGTTGTATTGTTATCTGCATTTTTATAGAAGTTTTTTGATTTCTTCTATGACCCACTGTTCACTCAGGAGTGTGTTGTTGATTCTCCATGTGTTTGCATATGCTCTAGAGATTTCTGAGTTTCTGATTTCCAGCTTCATTCCACTGTAGTCTGAGAAGATGCATGATATGATTTGATGTTTTTGAATTTGATGAGTTGCTTTATGGACTAGAGAAAGTCTATCCTAGAGAAATTTCCATGCACAGGTGAGAAGAAAAAGGTGTGTTCTGCAAATGTTTGATGGAAAGTTCTGTAGGTATCTGTCAGGTCCATTTGGTGTATAATGTTGATTAACTCTGTTGTTTCCTTGCTGATTTTCTGTATGGTTAATCTGTCCATTGCTGAACTTGGAATACTGAAGTCCCCCATTTCTACTGTATTTGAGTCTATGTCTCCCTTTAAATCCCTAACATTTCTTTTAAATAGCCAGGTGCCTTGCAATTAGGTGCATATACATTTATAATAGTTACATCTTCCTGTTGAATTGATTCCTTGATCATTATATAGTGCCCTTTATCAGTTTTGTGTTAAAGTATATTTTATCTTGGTATAAGATGACCAGCTCTTTTGCGGTTTCTGTTACCATGGAATATCTTTTTCCATTCTTTTACTTTCAGTTTGTGTGCATCTTTGTTGGTGAGATGTGTTTCTTGTAGGAATCAAATAGATGGGTTTTGTTTTTTAATCCATTCAGCCAGTCTGTTTTTAAAGTGGAGAGCTGAGGCCTTTTACATCATAGTGACTATTGATAAGTAATTATTTTGCCCTTCCATTTTTCCATAAATATTTTTATTTTTTACTTTGGATTTCCTTTGTACTTTTAATGGGAGATTTTCTCTCTTCACCTTATTTTGTAGGGATGACCATGTTTCTATATTTCTGTGTGTAGCACATCCTTAAATATCTTTTGTAAGGCTGGATGAGTGGTGACAGATTCTTTCAGTATCTATTATGGAAGGTCTTTATTTCACCTTCATTCATAAATGAGAGCTATGCAGGGTATAGTATTCTGGGTTGACCGTTTTTTTTTTCTTAAGCCTTGGAATATATCTTGCCATTCTCTCCTAGCCTGTAGGGTTTCTGATGAGAAGCCTACTATGTCTAATTGGAGATCTTCTGAAAGTAATCTGGCATTTCTCTGATGCACATTTTAGACTCTTTTCTTTGTTTTACTGTGGAGAGTTTGATTACAATATGTTGTGGTGAAGATCTTTTCTGGCATGTCTATTAGGAGTTCTGTGTGCTTCTGTACTTGATGTTCCTTTCTTTCTCCAAATTAGGGAAGTTTGCTGTTATTATTTCACTTAAAGGGCCTTCTAATCCTTTCTCTCTTTCCACACCTTTAGGAGCCCCTAGAACCTGTATGTTGAATCATTTGATAGTGTCCTGTAGATTCTCAACAGGGTTCTTTAGTTTTCTAATTTCCTCTTCTTGTTTTTTTGTCTGACCATATAATTTCTTGCAATTTGTCTTCTCAGTCAGATATTCTTTCTTCTGCTTCACTGATTCTGTTGCTAAGGCTTTCCACTGCATTTTTATTTGTTCTATTGAATTCTTCTTTTGCAAGGTTTCATTTTGCTTTCTCTTAGGATCTCAATTTTGTGGGAGAAATTTTCTTTAATGTCTTGTATGGATTTCATTAGTTTGTGCATTTGCTTCTATTACTTGTGTGTAATCTTATGACCAATTTTTTGATTCCATTTCTTGGATTTCTTCAAAGTCTTCATCTTCACACTCTAGTATTTCAGTGTTGTATTCTTTTGGGAGCATGATGTTGTGTTCTTTATTCTTGTTTTTGTATTGGTGCATTGATTATTCAGCATTTGTGGAGATACTCGTTGGTTTCTTCTTCTTCTTCTTCTTCTTCTTCTTCTTCTTCTTCTTCTTCTTCTTCTTTTTTTCTGTGGTGGCTTTTATCTTGGGACCATGTATGGATTAGTGGAGTATCTGCTTTCTGGGAATACCTAGAAGCATGTGGTGGATGTGTCCAGAGAGCTCTGTTCAATGCTCTAGGGTGAAGAGAGTGTTAAGGCTGGGCATGGTAAGTCTCCACTTTTTTTTGTGATGAGAGGGAGGGTTTTTTCTGTTGGCATAGACTCAGCTCATTTCCTCTCCTCAAAGGAGGCCAATGCCTGGGCACTAGCCCCAGTGGGTATAGTATTCGTCCGCACTTCCACCAGGACCACACAATGGATCTGTGCAGTCCTTGGTGTAAGCAGGTTCCCCAGCAGTGTCCCAGGGAGCCCTGAGGGTGTGGAGCCTCCCACAGTGACTGCCCAGAGTCCCAGCCACACCCTGTGTCCTCCCATACAGCCTCAGTGTTTTCACAGTCCCGGCACACAAGCCTCCCACAGTGCACCCAGCACCCCTGTCAGTTCTCCCCACCAGACTCAGGAGTGTCTGCTCGGCTGGTTGCTGGGTGTGGACGTGAGTTGGTACAGCTGGTGCATATGTCCAAAATGGTACCCACTCTGTATCTGCTTGTTATAGGATGCCATTGCAGGGTGATCGGGGAGAGAGAAATGTGCCCCCCCCCCCTTTTCTCCTCTAGTTTGGCAGGTGCACAAACCCTCACAGGACTGCAAGCTGGGTTCCCTCCAAGCTTTTCCTGTAGCTTTATCACCAGTGGCTTGGGCTATTGCAGTTTGGTCTCACCTCTCTCCAGAGCTGGTGTGGAGCCACTCGGCTGCTGGAGTCTGATTTGTGCATGCCCACATCTTCCACGAAGGTCAGCTGTGTCCCTCTAATTTGTATTGAGTTTCCTCTGCCGTCTTCTCCCTAACTCTTCCCTGAGAATGCACTCTCTCCACTTTTTTAAAACTCTCTTCTCCTTCACGATAGTGGTAAACTCCCTCCCTACTCTGCCATCTTCATTAGTGTCCTGCAAAACTATTAAAATAACTGCAGCATTCCCAACACGATCACTATTGAATGGGGTCGTGCTTTTTCCGCATTCTCACTGTGACTCCATACTCCAGTTGGTGTGAAATGGCAATATTTTGGTTTTGATTTCCATAAGGAGTAACATGCCAGCAGCTTTTCATGCACTTATTAGCCATTGTGTTTATTCTGTGAAGAGATGGCTATTCAAATTCTTTGTTCCTGCTTATATTGAAAGAACTATTTACATATGAATATTCTGGATACTGGGTACTTATTGGATACATTATTTTCAATTTTTTCCCCTTCTTTTTTTTTTTTTTTTTTTCCTCGACAGGCAGAGTGGACAGTGAGAGAGAGAGACAGAGAGAAAGGTCTTCCTTTGCCATTGGTTCACCCTCCAATGGCCGCCGCGGCCGGCACTCTGCGGCTGGCGCACCGCTGTAATCCGATGGCAGGGAGCCAGGAGCCAGGTGCTTCTCCTGGTCTCCCATGGGGTGCAGGGCCCAAGCACCTGGGCCATCCTCCACTGCACTCCCTGGCCACAGCAGAGGGCTGGCCTGGAAGAGGGGCAACCAGGACAGAATCCGGTGGCCCGACCGGGACTAGAACCCGGTGTGGCGGCGCTGCAAGGCGGAGGATTAGCCTACTGAGCCGCGGCGCCGGCCAATTTTTTCCCCTTCTAAAGCATGGAACTTTTTCATTTTTATGAAGTTTGATTTACTTGTTTTTTTTTCTTTCCAGAAACTGCCACACTGTACCCCAATATGCTTGTTCCCTTTAATATTGCCTCTTTAGTGCATGAGGGTTTCAGTTTGTCCACAACCTCACCAACACTTGACATAGCCAGTCCTTAGTCTGAGGCATTCTAGTAGGGATGTGGTGGTAGCTTACTGGCTGATTGTGTTTTTATTATCTTTTCCCTAATTACTGAAGATGTTGGACACCTTTTCATATATATATGTGTGTGTGTGTGTGTATGTGTGTGTGTTTGTGTGTGTGTGTATCTCCATTGGTTTACTGAAGTATTAGAATATTTTACCCATTTAAAAATTGATTTCTTACTGATTTTTGAGTGTAGTTTATATATTACAGGTATAAGTCCTTCCTCAGGTACAATCTTTGCAAATATTTTCTCAGTTTGTGACTGGTTCTGAAAGTTTTACTTTTGATAAAGACAAGTTTGTCAATTTATGATTTGAAAGATTTTGCCCTTGGCATTGCCTCTAAGAAATATTTCCTTAACAAAAGCCCATGGATTTTTAAATTTTGTTAGAAACTTGATAATTTTGTATTAATTTAGAATTTTGATGCATTCAGAGTTGTTATTTATATATAATGTAAGGTGTGTTTGCTTTGTTTTATTTTGATTTTTGCTTTTCTTTCCATGATTTCCTAATGTAACTATTTGTGCTTTATGGTCAGCTTGAATTCTGTACTGGTAAAATGCATAAAATAAAAGCAGAGGTGATTACGTTACTGTTTGATATCCTGCTTCCCTTCGCACCCTTTGCTCCCCTTTGTTTTCCTGTAGCCTCAAAACAACAGAGATTATACACTTCAGATAGGTCTCTTCCTTGCCTATTTCCAAGTTTGGTCAAATAGGGAAGATAATTGCATCTTCACACAGACAGCTGTGACGACTGAATAAAATGCATAGTACAATTCTTCGTGGCGTACCCAGTTTAATAAACGTTGGCTTTAACAACAGGATTACCATAGGTGTCTTCTGTAACACTTCTATGTGATTTGTGCTGACTCTGTGCCAAGGAGGCTTTCTCAAGCATGGAATACCCTGAGGCTGAAGGGAGTGTCTCCAAGATGTCACTGGAGCTTGGGAACACGCGGAATATTTTAAATCTGAGCAAGAAATCCTGGGAAAATAACCGTATAGTCTGAACTAGGTCGTGAATTTCATCCGCTGTGAATGATGTTGGAATTATTTAGTCCTGGGTTTCTTGAGAATGAAGCAGTTATGAACACATGGAGTGAGGGCGTCACCTGCTTTGGCAGGGGAGGCTCAGCTATGTGTGCAAGTCTGCCTTGGCAAGCAGCCTGTGCGACAGTATGGGACGGCACGCCATTTGTCCTGAATGTTCCCACAGCAGGCGGCCAGTCCGACATCAGCTTTGCTGTCAGGCAGCGATTGAATCTGGTGTTCTGTTTATTCCATTTTTGTTTTTTTCAACACATCTCCAGCTTCCTTTTGGTTTAGCATTTTGGCTTTTGTGATCAGCATATGACATTCCATCGTATTACTCTTCTGGCCTTGGCATAATCAGCATTGTGAATCTTCACAGTTTGTGTATTGTGTATTTGTCTATCTTGTCATTATCACTGTCAACAGGATTTAGATCCCAGTGGTCCAGGGATGATCTTGGCCTCTTGAGTATGTGTCAGGGTAACTGACATCTCATTTCAGCATTCGTAAAAGTGAAGGGCTCATTTGGAGGGTTTGGTGTGTGCCAAATTTGCTAGGGTTTCCCTCACATCCAATTCTTTTCTAAGTCCTGAGAAAAAAAATACTCCGAACAAGTGTTCAGTGGACCCTTTTGATAACAAAGAACTTCTGACATACTACGTGTCTAAGCTCTGCCTTCTTTTGATAGATGTAAAATCCATAAGGACAATGACTTTGGCCTTCTCGTTCACTGCTGTATCCCCAGTGATTTGTATGATCTTAATACATCTTTGTTGAACAAATGAATTCACTAAGCAAGCTTTTTTTATGTTGACTAAGTGTTGGCATTGTATGGGAATTAGACCTATCCAAGCTAACTCCAAAGACTAGTTCCTTGTCTTGATGGAGCTTATATTCTAGTTAAGGAATGAGATAGTAGTGAATGAAAAAGAAGTATCCATTAGCATTATAGGTTGCAATTAACTGTTATTAAGGGCTAAATGACTAAGAAATGAAATATTGAGTAGAAGGAACTTGCAAAGCCAACCAGAGGAGATATAAATGGTGAGAATAAACTTGGCACATGAAAAAAACTAGAGTTAGATATTCCAGACAGTGCCCAGGGATCAGTGTGTTGGAAAAACACAGGACTGGTGTGAGCAAGAAGGGGAGTGAGGCAAGATGGGAAAGACGAAGAGGAATCACTTTATGTGGTTTTGTAGAACTTGGTAAGATACAATGCCATGGTGAGCCACTGGATAGTTTTTGAGGAGGAGACTGTCATATGCATAATAGCTTCAAAAGTTCTAAGAGCTACCTGGAAATTGTATTGAGTTGGATAAAGGATGCAAACAGGAAATCAGAGGACATCTGAGAAGTCTTTGTGAGGCCACAATGACTGGTCCAAGTCAGTGGCCTTGGGAATGTAGAGAAATGGGTTGATTTGAAATGCCTTGGAAGAAATCACTCACTATTGTGATAAATTCAATGCATGGTATATTGAGGTTCCTTTGAAAGAAACAGATTTATACAGGGACATACAATAGGGGACTTACTGGGGGAGTTGTCTCCTGTGACAATGGCAGCTGAGAATCCTATAAATTTCCTGTAGGGTACCCATCCTGGGATACTGGTTATATGGCTCAGTCCAGGTCCAAAGACCTCGGAATCAGGCAAATCACTGGTGCAATGCCCACTTTGAGGTCAAAACCCTGAGACCAGCAGGGGAGGTGCTGGTGAGCTCTTGCAATACAAAAGCCAGCAAGCTTGTGTGATGTCCTAAGCAGGAAAGTCACAGAAGGAGACTGATTAGGCCTCTGTGTTGATTCTCTCTGGACCCCTCTGCGACGGGTGGTATCTGCCCATGTTGAAGGCTGGTTTTCTCCACCGAGCCCACTAAGACTCATGCTAATCTCTTTCAAAACACCCTCACAGGTAGACTTCACATCATGCTCTCCCAGGTTTGTAGGTATTCCTTAATCTAGTCAAAATGATGGGTACAATTGACTGTCACACAGGGTAAGGGGTGAGACAAAGCTGGCTGAATGTTTTCTAGGTTTCTGCCAGTGCGTTAGGGTCAATGGCAGCATCGCTGAATGGTTAAGCCACGGTATTATTTACTGAGCTGAGGATGGCTTGGGGAGGGTGTGTTAGTTTGGGTTTTATACACAACCAGAATCCTTCATGATAAAGAATCCGTGCACACACCCATGGAGGATGGAAAGGTTCCAGATCTTCGGCTGGCTGGAGACCCTGGAGAGTGAATGGTGCAGGTGCAGGTGCAGGCGCGGGCGGAACACTGATGTCCCACCTCACATAGGTAGAAGGAGTTCCCTTTTACTCAGCTTTTTTTTTTCTTTCAAGTCTTAAATTGATTGGATGAGGTGCATCCTCATTAGGGTGGGCAAGCTGTGTAACTCAGTCTCCTGGTTCAAATGTTGATCTCATAGAAAAACACCCTCACAGACACACCCAGAATAATGTTTGACCGAAGGTCTAGATACCCTGTGGCCCAGCCAAGATGACACCTAAAATCACAGAGGGACAGATGGCCTGTTGTGATCATTTGTTGTTTTATGCATTTTCAGTTTGAAGTGTTTATCATCCACAAACTCAGAGATTAAGTTGCATGTTTGATATTGGAGTTAGGAGATCAGAAGGGAGATCTGAGCTAGAGATAAAAACTTGGGAATGCGCCAGAGAGAGCTGCTTTGCCTGTCATTCTTCTACCTTTCAAATATAATTCTGATGGTTATGGTGGTGTGAATAGGTTCAGCTATGAAAACCTGTATTTTCCAGCTTCTCTTGCTTGTTGAGTGGCCCTGACAGTTCTGTCCACTGAAACACAAGTGGTCATTGTTGGCAGATGCTTCCGAGAGAGCAATTGAGAAGGGGCGGAAAGTACTGATTATATGTGGACTTTTACCCCCTTGATTGAAATATGAGTAATGAGGCAGCTAACTACTGAAGTAAGGTAAAAGGCACATGCTAAATAAGCACCAGCAAAATGGTAGAAGAAACTTAAAATCCAGTCAGTATGGCAACTCTAGACCTTCTACCTCCGTATGTCCTATTTCTGAGTAAACCATTGTTCAGGAGGTTTCTGTTGCTTGCAGCTGTTGAGGTTCCTAATGCAACAATTAAAGGTAGTCTGTCAGTAAAAATATCTTGGGCTGTAAATGAGAGAAAACCTGATTTAATATGTAACGTTTTTAAAATCTTCACTAACTGGAAGTCCAGAGGAAGCCAGGCTCCCAAGATGAGTTGTTTCAAGGTATTGGCAAGGCTATCATAGACTTTGTCCATGTCTGCTGCTGTCTCCTGTGTTGACTTCCTTCCATTGATTTCTCACCCATGCCTGTGGGAGAGAAAACACCATTCCACTCAATATTAAGCATGAGAGTTTATCTTCATTTTGATGGAGACAATGAATAGCACACCCTCATCCCTGAATACATCATTGGCGTGGGAGGACCTGACTGGCTTGATCCTGGGTTTTGGGTGAATAAGCAGCATGGGAGAGGAGGTTATATTTACTGACTTAGGTTAATTCAGGAAATAGTCCCAAAAGGAGTAAGGGGAGGGGTGATGTTAAAACTGTAACCCTTTTCTGTAATGGGGGAAGTTTGGAATGGACGCTGAGCATTGATCCACATATCTAGTCTTCTCCTTTACCTATTCAACATCCATCCTTAACTCTTTCCCAACTAAAATCACTGACAATACTCCCACCATCATGGAATACATTCACTTATCTCCAGCATGAAACAATTCGGTCTCCCGTGTCAATGATTCCAGAACTACAGTTGACTTAATGTTCTCGCGTTGTAGCTAGGTGTAGCTCCTCAGTGCATTAAGACTACTAAACACATTAAATACAGTGGAGAAAGAACAGGTCAAGCAATTGTGAATTTTTTGTGAAATAGTGACACACGTGCTTTAATGGTTCATAGCTGAAACCACAGCCCACTGGCTAGAAACAGGGAGGACTTCTTGAATACAGTGCAATGATAGCATATGTTACAAATAGCATCATGCTGGTCTGCTCTTTGGAGTGAACTCACTTAAAGATCCTTGTATGTCACCACGTGTCCTGCCCGTGGGAATGTCACTCATATTCTTGCTCCTTTTGGAGGTACACAGCTTTGTATGTCCAGGGGGTTTAAGAGTTGTCATAGCTCTTTATGGTCAAGCTTGGCATTTCTTAGATCAATGATTTTCTTTAAATTCTAGTAGGCATTCAGTACATAAGTACTTGTAATTTTCTTTGCTTGGGGTAACCATAGCAGGAGATAGTTGTGTGGTCAGGGTCTTTGGAGTCTGGGATTTTGGTTTCTTTGGCAGTAAAATCTGTTTGCTAGAATCCTGAAATCTCTATCTGGCCTGTTCCTGGGAGATAATGGAAGCAACAGAGTTGGATGGAGCTCTTTGAATGTGTCCTTTGCCTGCAGAGAATACGTAGCAGAAGTCGTCCGAGTACCTGTGCCTCTGTCTTACATCCTTCTAAGCCATCTCCCTTCCAGCCTCCATCAGCATGGACATTGTTAAGACAGATGATTGCATCTTTTGTTCCTACAAAATTCTATGATTTTGGATTATGAAAAGGGCCCCTATTATAGAAGCTATCTTTCCTTCCTTCTGTGGACCACAGTCAGCCTGTTTGTCTCTTTTGTAAGATCTCCTTAATGGTCTAAAAAAGCACTACAGACACTCTGGAACTTTGGTGGGAGTGTGGTCTGAATTTGACCATGCATGAGGCAGAAGACTAGCTGACCCCTTCCATAGGCATCATAAAATTGCCAGTTTACTAAAAGAAGTAGTACTATCTTCTTTGGTCTATAGCTTTCATCTTAAAATTAAGTCATTGTTTCTCTGATAGTGGCTCACTTCCTGGTATCAGAAGCGTTGTTAAAATGCACTCAGCTGAAAATAACACAGATACTGTAGTGGAGGTACAGGGCACACAGGGATGAGCCACAGGTCTGGCTCATTGGGGAATACTCTGTCTCCTTGGCCATGGTGCTGGGGTTGCTTGTAGCAGCCAAGATGGTCCAGCTGGAGACGATCCCAGGAGAGGATGATTCTGGGTTGCCAGGGGCCCTGCTGGGAAGCCAGAGGGAGATGCCAGCTGAGCGGAAGACAGAGCCAGAGCTGGACAGAGATCAGGTTCTCATGATACCAGCTCTGTGTGGAGCCAACACTGCTTCTGCCCTTTTCAATTAAGTGAATCAATGGGTTTTTTTCTTAAGCTTGTTTGATCTGGCATTTCTGTCCAATTCAACAGTTGGGGCTTCTGGGTTGATTTTAGTAATTGGATTATGAGAAGTCGCTCAACTCATCGAAATCATTTTAGGGATGAAAGGGATGTTTAGGATTATTTAATTGCTTTTTATGATGGGGACTCACATAGCTGTATAGCTTCAAAATCAGATTAGAAATTCTCTGTCCTAGTTATTTCCAGTAGCTTGTACTATCAGATGCTATTTTAAAATGAATAAATCTGTGCTGAACACAATATGTTAATATTCCTGGAAATGTTTAATCTGTCATAAAAATCAGTCTAATATCAATAGGGAAGTATTTTCTATAAATTTTTGACTTGGTAAAATTATGTGCAAAGTATGCCTCACTTTAGCCAATTTTTTTTACATCAAGTACAATAAAAAGTTTATGTTTGATTAGAGGATTGTCTTTTAAAAATATTTATTTATTTATTTGAAAGGCAGAGTTAATATGAGAGGAGGCAAGACAGAGAGAGATCTTCCAAATGACCACAATGGCCAGGGCTGGACCAGGCCAGAGCTAGGATCCTGAAGTTTCTTCTGGGTCTCCAATGTGGATGACAGGGGCCAAAGCACTTGGACCATCTTCCACTGCTTTCCCGGGGGCATTAGCAGAGAGCTCGATTAGAAGTGGAGCAGCTGGATCGTAGACTGGCGCCCATATGGGATGGTGGTGTCATAGGTGGAGGCTTAATGTGCTACACCACATGCTGAACCCTAGAGGGTTATTTTTTTGTGACTCTTGGCTTTGGTAAAAGTTTAGACTTATAGCAGAGTTGCAGATCATAGGGGACTTATAAAATTTCACAGAAAATATGTATTATGAGAAAAACTATGTGAATTTCAAAATATTTGGCACTAGAAAAACTTATCTTTCAATTCCTTCTTTTTTAGAGATATCTTCAGTTCTCATGTATCATTTACCTAGTTTTTGTTAATGCAAACATCTTTTATAATGACAATACAGTGATTGAAACCAAGAAATTAACATTGGTACAATGCATTAAGCTATAGGATGCATTCAAATTTTTCTAGTTTGTTTTCTAGTATTTTTCTGAGTTCCTAAAAATGAAAATGGTCCTTCATAAATTTGTTTTCTCATTCAAGAATTTCAAAGGGCTAGCATTGTAGCACAGCAGGTTAAGCTGCCACCTGCCATGCTAGCATCCTTTAAGGCACTGGTTCGAGTCCAAGGTGCTCCACTTCCAATCCAGCTCCCTACTAATGTACCTGGGAAAGCAGCAAGAGATGGCCTAAATGCTTGGGCCCCTGTACCACGCAGGAGACCTGGATGAAGCTCCTAGCTGCTGGCATGGGCCTGGCCCAGACATACTATTATGGTCTTATGGAGAGTAAATCAGAGGACGGAAGACGTTTCTCTTTCTCTCCTTCTCGTCCTCTCGTAACTCTGCCTTTAGATAAATAAAATAGATTTTTCTTTAAAAAATTTTAATTGTTAATTTGTTAATAGCCATTCTAGTAGTCATTACAGTTTTAACTTATAGGGTTATAGGTTTTAATATGCAACTGATAAAGGATTAATATCCAGATTCTATAAAGAGTTCAGGAAACCCAACCACAACAAAACAAATAATCCAGTTAAGAAATGGGCAAATCAACAGCCTTTGTATACACAGGCAATGCCACAGCTGAGGAAGAACTTCTAATATCAATCCCATTCACAATAGCTACAAAAACAAATACCTTGGAATAAACTTAACCAAGGACGTTAAAGATCTCTACGATGAAAATACAAAACCTTAAAGAAAGAAATAGAAGAGGATACCAAAAAATGGAAAAATCTTCCATGCTCATGGATTGGAAGAATCAACATCATCAAAATGTCCATTCTCCCAAAAGCAATTTATACATTCAATGCAATACTAATCAAGATACTGAAGACATTCTTCTCAGATCTGGAAAAAATGATGCTGAAATTCATATGGAGACACAGGAGACCTTGAATAGTTAAAGCAATCTTGTATAACAAAAACAAAGCCGGAGGCATCACAATACCAGATTTCAGGACATACTACAGGGCAGTTGTAATCAAAACAGCATGGTACTGGTACAGAAACAGATGGATAGACCAATGGAACAGAATAAACACCAGAAATCAATCTAAACATCTACAGCCAACTTATATTTGATTAAGGATCCAAAACCAATTCCTGGAGTAAGGACAGTCTATTCAATAAATGGTGCTGGGAAAATTGGACTTCCACGTGCAGAAGCATGAAGCAAGACCCCTACCTTTCACCTTACACAAAAATCCACTCAACATGGATTAAAGACTTAAATCTATGACCTGACACCATCAAATTTTTAGAGAGCATTGGAGAAACCCTGCAAGATATAGGTACCAACAAAGACTTCTTGGAAAAGACCCCAGAAGCACAGGCAGTCAAAGCCAAAATTTACATTTGGGTTTGCATCAAATTGAGAAGTTTCTGTACTTCAAAAGATACAGTCAGGAGAGTGAAGAGGCAAATGACAGAATGGGAAAAAATATTTGCAAACTATGCAACAGATAAAGGGTTGATAATCAGAATCTACAAAGAAATCAAGAAACTCCACAACATCAAAACAAACAACCCACTTAAGAGATGGGCCAAGGTCCTCAATAGACATTTTTCAAAAGAGGAAATCCAATTGGCCAACAGACACATGAAAAAATGTTCAAGATCACTAGCAATCAGGGAAATGCAAATCAAAACCACAATGAGGTTTCACCTCACCCCGGTGAGAATGGCTCACATTCAGAAATCTACCAACAACAGATGCTGGAGAGGATGTGGGGAAAAAGGGACACTAACCCACTGTTGGTGGGAATGTAAACTGGTAAAGCCACTATGGAAGTCAGTCTGGAGATTCCTCAGAAGCCTGAATATAACCCTACCATACAACCCAGCCATCCCACTCCTTGGAATTTACCCAAATGAAATGAAATTGGCAAACAAAAAAGCTGTCTGCACATTAATGTTTATTGCAGCTCAATTCACAATAGCTAAGACCTGGAACCAACCCAAATGCCCATCAACAGTAGACTGGATAAAGAAATTATGGGACATGTACTCTATAGAATACTATACAGCAGTCAAAAACAACGAAATCTGGTCATTTGCAACAAGATGGAGGAATCTGGAAAAAATCATGCTGAGTGAATTAAGCCAGTCCCAAAGGGACAAATATCATATGTTCTCCCTGATAGGTGACAACTAACTGAGCACCAAAGGGGAAACCTGTTGAATTGAAATGGACACTATGAGAAACAGTGACTTGATCAGCCCTTGTCCTGACTGTTGATGTACAATGTAATACTTTATCCATTTTAGTATTTTTTTTTTGTTCTAGTACTATTGGTTGAACTCTGTAATTAACACACAATTATTCTTAGGTGTTTAAATTTTAATTGAAAAGTGATCCCTGTTAAATGTAAGAGTGGGAATAAGAGAGGGAGGAGATGTACAATTTGGGACATGCTCAATCGGACTTGCCCCAAATGGTGGAGTTAGAAACATGCCAGGGGATTCCAATACAATCCCATCAAGGTGGCATGTACCAATGCCATCTCTCTATTCCAGGTGATCAATTTCAGTTCACAATTGATCACACTGATAGGTCTAAGAGTCAAAGGGATCACACAAACAAGACTAGTGTCTGCTAATACTAACTGATAGAATCAAAAAGGGAGAGAACCATCCAACATGGGAAGCGGGATACACAGAAGACTCATAGAATGGCAGATGTCCTAAACAGCACTCTGGCCTCAGAATCAGCCCTTAAGGCATTCGAATCTGGCTGAAGTGCCCATGAGAGTATTTTAGGCATGGAAAGCCAAGATACTCTGGGGAAAAAAAAAAAAAAGAAGAAGACCTAAATGAAAGATCTCTATGAGTGAGATCCCAGTGGAAAGAACGGGGCCATCAAAGAAGGAGGTATCTTTCTCTGAAGGGAAGAGAGAACTTCCACTTTGACTATGACCCTGTTGGAATAAGATCGAAGTTGGTGAACTCAAAAGGCTTCCATAGCCTTGGCAACTCATGACTAGAGCCTACGGAGATTACTGATGCCATAAACAAGAGTGTCAAATTGTTAACAACAGGAGTCACTGTGTACTTAGTTCTCATGTGGGATCTGTCCTTAATGTGTTGTCCAATGTGAAGTAATGCTATAACTAGTACTCAAACAGTATTTTACACTTTGTGTTTCTGTGCAGGTGCAAACTGATGAAATCTTTATATATACTAAATTGATGAAGTCTTATATATACTAAATCTTTATATATCTTTATATATACTAAATATTTATATATACTAAACTGATGAAATCTTAATATATACTAAATCGATCTTCTGTATATAAAGATAATTGAAAATGAATCTTGATGTGAATGGAATGGGAGAGGGAGCGGGAGATGGGAAGGGTGCGAGTGGGAGGGAAATTATGGTTGGGGGGAAGCCATTGTAATCCATAAATTGTACTTTGAAAATTAATATTTACTAAATAAAAGTTAAAAAAAAAGAAATGGGCAAAGGACTTTAACAGGGATTTTTCTAAAGAGGAAACTCAAATGGCCAACATACAAATGAAAAAATGCTCAGGATCACTAGCCATTAGGGAAATGCAAATCAAAAGCACAATGAGGTTTCATCTCACCCCAGCTACAGAAAACAAAAACCAATAAATGCTAGTGAGGATTTGAGTATTTGAGTAAAATGTTCCCTAATCCACTGTTGGTGGGAATAAAAGTGAGTACAGCCATTGTGGAAGACAGTATGGAGATTCCCCAGAAATCTGAAAAAAGACCTACCGTGTGACCTGGGGAATCCCACTCCTGGGAATTTACCTAAAAGAAATGAGATCAGCATATGAAAGAGATACCTGTACCTCTATATTTAGTGCAGCTCAATTCACAATAGCTAAGATATGGAGTCAACACAGATATCCATCAAGTGATGGCTGAATAAAAAAAATGGGGTATATATACACTATGGGATATTGTGCAGCCATAGAAATGAAATCTGGTATTTGAAACAAAATTGATGCAATTGGAAACCCCTTATACTTAGTGAAATAAGCCAGTACCCAAAAGACAAATATCAGATGTTTTTCCTGGTCTGTGTTAACTCATAGAGTACAGAAACATGTAATGTAAATAAGAAAAATTGACATTTTGAGGAGTAGTTATTGTTTACAGCCCTTGTCTCCACTGTTGAGAAACAGTTTGTTTCTTCTTACTATTTTCTGAATTCTGAACTTAGTTGAGGGTTAAGCTTATGATTATAAAACCTAAAGTATATCACTGTAAAAATTAAAAAAATAAGAAAGGAGGAGGAGGAAGGGTGAGATCATGAGCATGAGTGCTGGAAGGGTGGGAAGTATAACTAGGTTCCTAAGTCTGTGTATATGAAATACATGAAATTTGTGCATCTTTTATAAACAAAAAAATTGGAAAAAAATTTAAAAAAGACATTGTGGCTTTAGTTCAGAGATGCCAGATGATTAGAGATGTTGAGCATTTTTTTTTTCATATATCTGTTGGTCACTTTTGTAAGAAATATCTGTTTTGAGCCTTTGCTTGTTTTCACCTGGATTATTTGTGGTTTTATTTTTTTGGAACTGCATTGTCTCTTGCTATTGAATTGTTTGAGTTCCTTAATTATTTTGAAATTAACCTTCATACGTACTTGGAAAATGTTTTCTCACAATCCATCACTTGTCTCTTAATTTCAATGCTTGCTGTATCATGCAGAAACTTTCTCATTAGATGCAGCTCCATTGGTCTATCCTGTGTCAGAAATCGTGCCCAGACCACTTATGGAGTTCCTTGTAACACCTTTATTATTTCAGGTCTTCTTTTTAAGGCTTTTATGCATTTTGAGTTGACACTTGTACATAGTTTGGGATGAGGATCTAGTTTAATTCTCATGTGGCTATCCAGTTTCCAAAGAACCGTTTAATGAAGAGACTATTATTGTCCCGTTGTGTGTTCTTGGCATCTTTGTCAAATGTTAATGTGCTATCAATTCTTGCATTTATTTCTGGGCTTCCTATTCTGTTCCATGGGTTGATGTATGTTTCTATGCCGATACCATGTTGTTTTGATTACAATAGCTTTATTATTTTGGAATCAGAGAATGTCATAACTCCAGCCTTGTTTGCTTTACTCAAGATTGCCTTTTGTATTTGGAGTCTTTGTTGGTTCCTCGGGAGGTTTAGCTTTGTTGTGCTTCCATTTCTATGAGAAGTGACATAGGAAATTTCGACGGAAGCTGCATTCATGAATCTGGGACAGCCATGCATTTCCTTGTGTCTTCTTGGTTTTAGTTCATCAGTTTACAGGTTTCAGTTTACAGATTATTCATCCCCTTACTCAACACTTCTAAGCATCAGGGAGCTTGAAATTAAAACCACAATGAAATACCACCTCACTCCTGTTAGGATGGCTGTTAAAAGAAGACTAAGGCTCAACAGAAATTGGCATGGTCGTGGCAAAAAGAGAAACTTGTACACTGTTAGTGGGAATATAAATTAGTAAAGCTGTTTTGGAAAATAATGAGGGTCTTCAGGAAAGTATATGTAGAATTGCCATAGGATTCAGTGGTTCCACTATTGATACGTAGCTAAAGGAGCTGAAATAAGTGTGTTGAGATACCTGATTCCTATGTTCATTTTAGCATTGTTCACATAGGCAGTATATAGAAGTAATCTAAGTGTCTGGAAAAAAGAATGTGTTATCTTTTCACAGTTGACTGCTATACAGCCTTAAAAAGAAAATTATATCACTTGAGACAACATGGATGGAATTGGAGGACTTCATGTTGACTGAAGGAAGCTGGGCACAGAAAGACCAATACAGTATGATCTTAGCAGAGTGGAAAAGTACTTAGTAGAGGTTGGGTTGGGGGGAGAAGGATGGGGAATGAGAAGATGTTGAACAAAGTGTTCAAAGATTCAGTTGGGCCACAAGAGTAAGTTTTAATAATCCATTGCATTGAATTGTGACTGCAGTAAATATTCATGGGTATTTCAAAATTGGCTAAATGGATTTTTAATATTTCCCCGTAAAAAGGAGAAGTTGGTAAGGTGACAAATATAATTGTATCTTGATTAAATATTCCTATAATGTATACCTTGATGAGTGCATTGTACCATACTCCATAGGACACATTTAATATCTTTCACTTAAACAATTAATGAAGCTATTTTAGAAAAATAATATGGCCACCATAAAAGACCCCTGGTGATAAGTGATGTCTAGCACGATTCTTAGTACCTATTTTTATGTAGTCTTTGAGGAAGCATCTATTCAGAGCGTTCCCATTTTGAAAATGGGTTGGCTTTTTTCCTACTGTTGAATTGTCTGAGTTCTTTATAAATTTCAGTAACTCCTTATCAGGTACATGCTTTACAAATATTTTTTCCTAGTCCATAGGCTGCTGTTTCATGTCACTGCTTCCTTAGCTGTAAGAAGCTTTTTAGATAGATGTAGTCCTATTTATTTTTGCTTTTATGGCCTGAGTGTTTTGGTATGATACACAGAAACATCAGGGCCAAGACCAATGTCTGGGAACATTCCCCTGTGTTCTGTCTTCGGGGTTTTGTTGTTTCTTCTCTTGTGTTTAGGTCTGTTACCCATCTAGGACAGATTTTTGTAGTGTGTAAAATAAGGGTCCAGTTTCACTCCTTTGCATGTGCAAATTTTGTTTTCTCACTACCACTTCTTCAAGATGCTGTCCTGTCTCCATGATGTCCTCTTGGTGTCCTGGTCAAAAATTCATCATCTTTATGAAGTTGGATTTATTTATGGACCGTCAGCTCTGTTCTGCATGTCTCCAACTCTGTTTTGGTTTTGCTATTTAGGGTCTTTTATGTTTCCATACACATTTTAGAATTGTTTTTTCTTTTGTTTCTGTGAAGAACATCATTAAGTTTTTGATAGGATTGCATTGAAATATACAGATTACTTTGGGTAGTATGGACATTTTAGCAATGTTAATTCCTGTGGTTATAATTGTGCACATATTTTTACTTATTTTTGTCTTCAATTTCTTTCATTAATACTTTATAATTTTCTGTGAACACAGCTTTCCATCACTTGCTTAAAGTGATTTCTAAGTATTTTGGGGGTTCTTTTACAAATGAAATTGTTTTCTTTGTGGATCAGTATTTGTGTGTCAGATGCTATTCATTTTTGTAGGTTGATTTGTCGTACTTCAGCTTTGCAGAAATCATCCCTTAGTTCTAAAAGAGTTTTTGGTGGACTCTTTGGAACTTCTACATGTAGTATCATGTTATCTGCAAATAGAGATAATTTTCTTTCTTTCTTTCTGTTTGGGATGCCTTTTATTTCTTTTTCTTGTCTGACTGCTCCTGCCAGGACTTCCAGTACTGTGGTGATCAGAATTGGTGAGTGAACAACCTTGCATTGTACTGAATCTAAGGGCAAAGCTTTCAGTTCTCCCCTGTTGATTAAAATGTCGGCAGTCAATTTTTCCTAAATGGCCTTTGTTATGTTTTGAAAATTCTCGTCCGTCCTTGGACAGTTGAGAGTTTTTCAAAGAAAGGACATTGGACTTACTGAATCCTTTTGCTATATCGGTTGGGATGGTCTTTTTATCTTTCATTTTGTTAATGTGTTGTATCACATTGGTTTAATCTCATATGTTAAACAAGCTTCCCAGGCCCAGGCTAAAACCTTCGAGGTCGTGATGTTTAATCATTTTAATGTGTTGCTGGATTCAGTTTGCTAATGTGTTGAGATTTGTATCAATGTTCATCAGAGAAATTGGCCTAAAATGTTTTTTTCTTGTGATGTCTTTGTATGATTATGATTGTGGCCCTATGAAATGTGCTGGGAAGAGTTCTTGTAGTTGTGCTTTTATGAAGAATTTAAGAAGTGTGGGTTGATTTAATGTTTGATAGAATGCATTTTTGAAGCCCTCTGTTCTTGGGATTTTCTTTATTGGGAGGATTTTGATGACTCCAGTTTCATCATTTGATGTTGTTCTGTTCAGATTCCATCTTTCTGACTCAATCTTGATACATTGTGTTTTTCTAGGCATTAATCCATGTCCTCTAGGCTATCCAATTTGTGGGCCAGTAGTTGCTGTAACAGTTCATTACAGTCCTTTTTGGTTCTGAAGTGTCTGTGCAATTTTTCCCCTTTCATTGTTGATTTTGTAGATGAGTCTTCTCTCTCATTTTCTTGGACTAGCTATAGGTTCGTCAATTTAACTTTTTCAAAAAACCACCTCAGTTTAATTGATGCTTTCTGTTCTTTATTTGATTTATTGTGCTTCTCATTTCTCATAGTTTCTTGCCTTCTGCTGTTTTTGAGTTAGATTATTCTACTTTTAGTTCCTCAAACCATAACATTAGACTGCTTATTTGTTTTTATTTAAATGTAGGCTATTATTACTATAAACTTCCCTCTGAGAACTGCTTTTGCTGCATCCCATAGATCTGTATATGTTATGTTTTCATTGTCATTTGTCTTAAAATAGTTATGGATTTCCCTTATAATTTCTTCTTTGATCCGTAGATTATCTAGGAGCACGTTGTTCAATTTTCAGTTATTAGTGAATTGCCAACATGGATTTCGAGTTTTATTCCATTGTGGTCTGAAATAATATTGAGTATGATTGCATTCTTACTAAGTTTATTAAAACTTGTGTGGATGAGCATATTGTCTCCCCTGGACAGTACTCTGTATACTGAAGAAAAAGTGTGTCTTCTGCTTTTGCATGCAAAGTTCTATACAAGGGTTCTTCAAAGAGTGTGTGGAAAATGGATTTTAGATGTGTGTCTATTATGATGCAAAGGATTTTGATATTCATGCATAGC